AATACGTTTATTGTGATCGCACAACCCGGCCTCTGTTGATTTTGATGTGGTACTTGTTTTGAACCGGTAGTGAGGATGACTTGGTTGGAGCATTACCAGTGCATTGAGCGCATGTCGATTACCCTAGCATCTATTTCCATAACTTCATGCCCTTGGGGGCCACAATTCATAGTATAGTGCGATCCACAACCCTTGATTGATAGTGATTGGGGCTTTGCAGAATCCCTGTCTAGCGTGAGCGGATATACCGTCTATTGATAGTAGCCGTAGCTGCAGCTAACTTCAGCCCATCGAAAGAAGTAGAAAGAAAGAAACGAAGTCGTGGCTTAGATGTGATCCCCTCTTTTTATCCTTGTCGTCTACCCCTCTTTTCTTTCCCACTATCTAGTATCTACAGATAACACTCTCAGCTGAGGCTGTACCTGAAACGAACTAACCAAACTAGATCCAAAGATAGTGGTGATGACCATGCAGCCAGTGGTCTGATTTGCATGTGGTCTGTGAGTAGTGAGTACAGTAAGTCGCCTGCCGTCTCTGAACTATATCTGAAACAACCCGCTGTTTGCTTACTTACCTTAGCTTGGTGTTGCTTAGTAGGGCATTTGGACCGGGTTATGTGTTTTAGTTGGATATAGTACGGAGTACTTGCGGCATTTATCTCCTCCTGTTGTGCTGCTCGGGCTGAGTGTCAGCCGCTATCTAGTATCTAGATAGTAGATCAGATTTTAGGTTGCATATGCATTAGCTGAGGGGGGATAATTATATAGTTTTGGACCCCAAGGGGATGTTGTTGTTTTGTTGGGATGGGTGCATAGATAGATGGCTACTGACTAGGGGGTGTGTGTTGTCTGTGATGTCTGTCAATCAGTCAGCCTTGCGAGTAGCTCACTACCTACCAACTAACTAATTGACCCCCACGATAGTAGTTTTGGATCTACTCAGTTAGTTAGTTAGGATACTGCTCACAAGACATATTACTATTCCCAGGTGTTAGACGGATGATGTATGGTCTACAATGGCACAGTGGCATAAGCAACTAACTAGCTATTATACAACTATCTACTCACCATCAAATAGTAATTGCGGAAATAAAAATGAAAGTGAACGATCAATTGACTTGGATAGAGAACACATTTAGTATAAATCTGCTCAGAAACAAAAATGTATGACAAGAGTGGGATTCGAACCCACGCCATCTTACGATGATCAGGAAGCTGTGAAGCTGGGTATTAAGGTGGACCTTAACCTGACGCCTTGGACCAACTCGGCCATCTTGCCTTGAGATGTTATTTGCTGAGGGATTAGTGGTATATGAGTCTGCTTGAGTATATATAGATATATTCTTGTGGGGGATCCTTGGTTCTTATTGGGTGTGGGTGGGGGACGGGGATGCGATGGGGGAATGGATGGTCTTGTGTGTGAGGGAAGATTAGGACTCGGGTAATAGGGTCTGAGAGAGGAGATGTGTTCATTACTACAGTGGTGGTATATTACATCAAGATTAAACTGAGGGGTGTCCAGAAATGGCTCACGACGCGGAAAGCGAGTATTCCATGAAGCCTAGCGATTTATATATGACCGCAATATAGAGGTCAATGACATCCCAAGTAACCGAAGAAGCACACCGGCATCATTGTCACTAACCCACAAAAGCGAATGGCTTCGTCCACTGTCCAAGTTACCTCGATGCTTAAGCCGCCGCAGCATCCGTTTTGGAGAACGTGTTGTGTAAAACGACCGATACCATAACTTATATGACAGAAGCGAGTGGCTTCGTCCATTGTCATCGAAGTCTCGATCATCAACCCGCCCAGGCAGGTCCGTTTTGGAGAACCCGTTGTATAGAACCACCGGCCTGTGGTTTAATTAAACACCCAGAAATCTTCTCCCTGTCTCCCTTAACTCAACCGCCAACCCGGCCATAAAGAGGTCTGCCTTGTACTCCCATATCGAGGTAGATTAGTGCACTAGAGGTTGATTCATGAATACCGATCGGCACTTTGTCGAAATTATCCCTAATTGAAAAGTCACACCAAACCCAGCTGAGACGCCCTATAGTCTTAGGAGGTAGTCAGTGTGGCCGCTACAGCACGCCAGATCGCTTCATTTGTAGTATCGCTGGCCATCCTTGAAACCGAGAGGGAACAGGAGCGATATAGTCGGAGGCCGAGGCTACTAGGTTTTAAAGTAGAAAACGGGCAGAGAAAGAGCCGGAAGATTCTGGATGGTTGTGACCGGTTGCCGTGTAGTAAGGTTACTGCTAAGCTTCTTTACTAGGCGCCCTCGTCCTTATCGCCGTCTTCATTTGTGGAATAACAACGTCATTTGTGGGTGCTGCTGTAGCATGCCAGAGTTATTGACTAACACTTTAAGGCGTCGCTCATTCTCTGCTTCGAGAGACTTTTCTTCGATCTCGAATCTGGCATGGTGTCCGTGGGCGTGTGTTGACTTCGAATGCCAAAGTGAATACTCCATCAGCTAACAATAATTGCAAGTGCTTGGATAAGTATTGAGCCAAACTTGCTATTTTGTTTTGCTTTGGGCTACTAATGACTTCGATGTTCTCACCGTAGTCTTAGGCAATGTGGTTTCGTGTGTGCCACTTCAAAAGCTTCTTGGTCTCGTTCTAATCGGCTTGCATGTAGACCGCGGCCCATGGACTTCTGCCGCAGCCAGCAACAGTCAGCCAATGCTGCCCACATGTGGGTTATTTTTGTAGTCTTGGTGTGGCCAATCACAGTCGGCAATTTGCTGCCTACAGGTGTGTTCCAAAAGTGCAACCATCGCACATTGCTTCGAGAAACTGAGTATGTTCGAAGCTGCTATTCGATCGGGTCCAGAGTATTTCTATATCTCTGGTTCTCTTTCCTCTCCCTTGAGTAGTGAGGATAGATATGTTTGCCACATGAGGAAGTCCTTCACTTTGTGCTCTGGGGCAAGTATTTCCAGGCATTCCATGTAAATTTTCCAGCCATAAACGGCAGTCGACCAATCCTGCTGGCATGTTCCTCCAAGAGCAATGCAACAAGGTATTGCTTCGAAAGATTGAGCCAATCCCAGTAGTGTCTCGAATTTGGCGGAGAAGATCTTCGTCTTCGCCCCCGCCTGCAATATATGGTGTCGTTCTCACCATATCATGGCATGAAGATAATGAGAATCATGCATATCAGTCCATCGCAAATGCCTGAGATATGAGCTCCTCGTAAATGTCTCGTAGGACACGGCCCACGTGTCAGTTGGGCCCATACGCCTTATTGTCGAGGACCCGATCATATGGCTAACAATCACTCCTTCTCGGCCGTCATGATGCTTTTATATGGTTGCATCGATATCGTCGAGGTAATATCATATGGTTTTGCACCGACACAGCAGTAGCCTTGGCTTTGGAAGAACAGCTAGAACCCTCATTTAGCAACCTTTCCATGTCTTATCGCAAAGGCATACATGGAGAAGTAAGATAACCGATAAAACGCCCTTTCCTGGTGCTGGAGTAGATGTCAGCTTATGCATTCTTAGCGGGCCGTCTCACCAGCCCCAAACATAAAGATGACATACATAGACTGACCGTTGTCAGCAGACATCTTTATTAAATGATGGCTGAACCGCCCCAAAGTATTTCACAATCCCCCACGTGATTGTGGTTCTTGACTCTTATAGCGATGTTATTCCCGATAATCGATGTTGTGTTCTAAGACTCGGGACAACGATGTGGCTTTGTTAATCTCGGGTACTCTCTCGTAGTATCCCTTCGTTGTCTTGGTTCGAAATGTCTCTTCTGGACGTGCGAATACTTTGTAGATGTATTCGGCCCTCTTGGATCAGGGAAAAACCATTTACTCCAGGCATCCAATGGCGGGAGTAACGCGAGGTTTGAAGCAGAGAAAGTAGCTTAGTATTGTAGCAATGTGCTTTATATGAGAATGTCATATATCATTCATAGAAGGTACCTGTCATCGGCTATACTCTTTCTAGCCAAATGGCCCAATGAATCGAGAAGATACTAGGAGATAGACCCTATCGAGCAAAAATGATTTATTAGAAAGATTAGAGAGATTACAAAGTAAGAAACACAAGAGACGAGAGAAAATTGGCTGTTTATATACTACGGGGCCAAGCAGCGCTTAGTCGTGAATCCGGACCATATTGTGTGAATCTGTATACAATACTGTGAATAGGATATGAATACAAAATGATTTTCATCTCAACCCGGTGAAGCAGCAAGAGGGGTGGGAGAGAAAAAGTGTCACTGCAGAAAGCAGTGACGGCGGAGATTATATCACTCAGTCAAGCAAAATTCACATTGCGGTTCATACATACACGAAGCTGAGATGAGCCCTACCAGAGCCGCATCCGAAGCCGTTGCAAGGACCCTGGTAAGCACGCCTTTTTAGCGCATACAATCAGGCTATACAAAGTATCTATATAGCTATTGAAGTATATTTAGAATGTCCTATACTACACAGCCTTAAACTAGCGATATGCTAACACGCTCACCTGACAGTAATGCATATGGACCCCGGTAGGATATCTCGGCTCATTGCACCAATCACATTTTGGATCTGCATCTTCGGCTAATTTGAAACCACTGCTAATTGAATGATAACTGCGGCTTACATTGTAGCGATGAAACTAGATGGTTGATATTTATTGTTAGCTAATGGTGCTGACCATCCTTGCTATGATGACGCTCGCACACCAACATAAATATTACACGGACGGGAGACTAAGATATCCCTTGGTCCGAAACGTCGAATGAGCATTCGATTCCGACCCAAAGCGATGATACAATCGTAGTGGATCCTATTATGAAACTAGCGCGAATCACGCAACCCGGGTTATACTATCCAGCAGACTAGTCCAAACCATCGACACCGGAGGGAGGATAAGCCAGTAATGGAAAGGGTCTTATCTTCCGTAATGATATTAGCCCAGCTATATTACATTAAATGAGAGCATATAACATGAACAAGGCAAGATGGCCGAGTTGGTCCAAGGCGTCAGGTTAAGGTCCACCTTAATACCCAGCTTCACAGCTTCCTGATCATCGTAAGATGGCGTGGGTTCGAATCCCACTCTTGTCATTTCTTTTTTATTTTTTCTTCTTCCCCCCACACCGATTGATCTTAAGACGTGGGAGACGGCGTGGATGGAAGTTGATAGATAGTAACTCAGTTCTTTTTCTACATCTATCATCGCCATCATTTTCTTTGGGGGTTTTTGCAGGCCCGACGCTGTTCGTCCTTTTCTCCTCCTGCCTAACTCCCACCCAGCCGCGGACATATGTAATAAACCTTAACATGAGCGTAAGCATAACCATAAGTAAGCATAAGCATCAACCCCCACCATCCCAACGACAATAAGAAAAATCTACTTATTTCTTATGTCATATCATCCCATCACCTCAATAAGTAACCAGCTTCACCGACCGGAAATTTTCTACAAAAAGAAAGGATGCGAACCAAGAAGAATCAACAAGAAAGCAAAAGAAATCGATGATCATCTCGGTGAAACACCGTCCGTCCACCTACCTATCCCATCCGCTTGTCCATCCTGCATCATGACAAGGAAATCCGAGGGAAAGGAGGTGGCTCGGATAAAAGGGTTATTCACACCGTTCTATTGTAAACATAAGCTCTTCCAATCATGGAGTACCAACCCCCAAGGTAGTATACTGGAATATCCAAGTATGTACGTAGTATGTGTCATGGACAGCCAAGTCCGGTGTGCAGACGTACGCGGACATGCATATCCGGATGCATTTGTTTCTGTATCTGTTTGAGTGAATGTATGCCTGTATGTAAGTCGGCTCGGTTAGAGAAGGAAGGGGGCTGGTGGTGGTCGGTGGGGTGATAAGGATATTGAAGGTATCACCATTGTCCTGATAATATAACTCGTTATCAATATTACTATAGCTGATGGCTATTATGCTTACAAGGGAACGTGCGTAAGTTATTCTAATGGGTGAAATTGGTAATAGGAATATAACATTGGTGGAACCATCGTATAGATAGATGAACAAACCTGAAAAAAAAAGGGTCAGTAATAAAAGTAAACCTACTTCGCAGAAAGTGGTGTGGGAGTTGGGCTGAGTTGGGTGCAGCAGCAGCAGCAGCAGCAGCAGCGACATGCTTGCGTTGCCCGCGGATGTACGTATCTCAGCATCCGGAGAGGCAAGTTGCAGCTCTGTGCAGACCCCGTGACCAGCACATCCATACTGCAAGTTGTCACCGGGGGTTGGGGCTAGATCTGAGATCGCGCCGTTCTGGTCTGGTCTGGTTCAGATAGCATCGCTGCCATGGCCCACTAGTTATCTATGGAACCCTGCCGGGCCCTTTTACTCCGACGCATGGACGGAGTACGCCGTACGGTGTGCAGCCATGTTTAATTTAACTAATTTCAGGTCTACAAGGTTCAGGGTTCAGCTCTGTTTACTTTTTTTTCTTTCTTATCTACACCTTAGACTACAGGGCAATCATTCAAGGGGTTACGCTGGCTTGGCAACTCCAAAAAGGGTTGATCGGCAGAATCTATCATTGCTTGGCTGTGCAACAGGAACTGCGGTTTATCTGATGGCACAATGCTTGGCACATATCAATGGACCCTTGGCAGTCATTCAGGATTGTCTGGGCAGCGCAGCCCAGGCAAGGAGTATGGTATCATTATGATTGTGCAAGAGGCTATGAACATGAGGTGTAGACTTGGCGTAGAGTATAATGGCAAAAGCAATGAATCTTGCAACCCCCCCAAAAAAGAAAACATCGGGCCCCGCACTTCGTTTCCCCCGAATGGTCGCTCGGTCCAATAACGTCAGATATCCATGACAAGAACTAGTAGTGATCTTCCTTCGGTCTGCGGGGTGAGACTTTAGGCCCCGTTAGACGATGAGGTGCGAGGCAAGGAAATCGTGTCCAGCGCGATTCGTCGAATTGAAATTGCTTCTATTGCCAGAAGCTTAGTTGCTAGGCGAAGCGGCGTCGCGGGTGTCGACGCCCAGGTAGAGGAAGCCGCTAGGGAGACGACTGAATCCAGGGCGCTGCGCAGTTTCGCTGGTCGTGGAAGACTGGCTGCTGGAGCGCTCACGAACCTGCGTCGAGGTAGAGAGAGGAGCCGACTCGGTAGGGGCCAGGACAAGGAACTTGGAGGTGGGGGTGTAGGTGAACATGGTGATTGATGGATGAGTTGACAAGGAGTCTCTTGAAAGCAGGTAAATTGGCAAAGTCTTAAAGTGACTTGGAATCAAGTAGAGAGAACTTTTCTTGCAGAGTTGCTTGGAGGAAAGAGGATGGATGAGAATTTCATCGGCTGGAATCGGCCACCCTTATATAGCTATGGCAGAGCTCAGCCAAGCCATTATCGCAGCAGGGAAGAGGGGTTGACCGGAGATGGTGTCGATCAGGCGAGCTACCGATTCTAGCCCAGCTGCAGAAAGCAGATAAGTGGAGGGACAAGCAGTGGCTTGCCTATTCCTCATACCCGACGGTGGACCGGGACACGCTGTAATTCACATGCCTGCGAAACGGACTATCACAAAGGAGGGGCTGAGAACGTCATCCTTGAAAATCCCCCCTTCCCATGCATCTCTTGGCTCTGGCAATAGTCATACCCGAGCAGGATGCGGTGGACATTCTGGTTGGGTGAGCTGGGCCTGGGGGTCCCCGACACAAGCATCAGGACCGCCACGACTCCGAACCTAGCCTCGGATGATCAGCAACCAAGAGCCGTGGCCAAGGCACTATTGATTGAGACCGAACCGTCCCGTGACGAGCTCTGGAGGAACGTGGAAGGAAAAGAGGCGATAAGAGGCGACGTCAGGAACAAAGTGAGTTTTTGTCCATTCTTGGGGGGCAAAAGAAGCGGGCCTGCCAAGTCGTTGCTGCATTCTTTTTCTGTTCTTTCCTGTGGATTTCTGGTTATGTTCCCCAGGCCACATGACCCCCCCGGAATTTCATGGTTGTTTCCCGCTGCTGCAACTTCTGCTTCCCCTCGGAGATCGCCTTCTAACATTCCCTTCCTCGGGAGATCTTGACTTGGGCAGCCACATCTGCTTTCCAATTGAAATGATCCGAATCTTTCCTCCCCCCTTGCTTGATAGAAGCGAAAGAAGCCGCTAGAAAACAGCATTGCTCGGGGAAAGGACTAGACCATTGTGTGAAGTCGGAAGCTTCAGGGAACGGGAAGCTGGGAACACCCGACGGGCGGAGATGGTGGTCCGGGGGAAGGTTCCATGGTAAAGGGTTGAGTTGAATGGACTGACTAGTGGACAATTTAATGAGACTAGCAGGTCCCCTCTCCGGATTAATAACGAGGCGTGAGAACGAGACGAAGGGAGTTCTGGAGGGAGTAAAAAAAGAACAACAAAACCAGAGGAAGTATGAAGCCAAGCAAGCAGGCGGCTCAAACCAGCCCGGGATCACGTGGCTGACATGAGATGCGCGCAAGAATCAACCACAGCGACTAGAAAACCAAGCCCCCTTCAGGAACAGGCCAAAACCCAGGTTCAGGCCAGGAACCATCACGCGTCGGTCCCATCACCGGCGCCGTTCCCCCTCCCGGGAGCCAACGGCGGCTAAAAGATGGCCGTGCCCGCTGGTTGAAACCTGTCGACCGTCGCCGTTTTAGCGCCTTCGGGCCCTGCGCCGTATCGCCCTGAGTGGCGCGGCCACCCAGCGGCTGAAAGGGCTCAGTGAAACATGCAGAGGCCCATGGAAAAAGCGCCGCAAGTGCTGTGCCGACTTTCTGAACTCCATGACCTCGCTGCCTTAGCCCGATGTTTCCCATTCAGCCTAGCTGCTGGTGGTTGATCATGGAAAATCGATAGGCGGAGACGGTCTGGCTGGCACTGCCGAATTACTCCAGTTAGCCTCGGCCGTGGTAGACCTGGCTCACTATCACACCAACGCCGTAATATCCCAGGCCCATGGGGAAACTACGCTAAGTAACGCTCGGTTGCTGGCTCGCGCTGATGTCGGATAACTTCTGGCCCCCGAGCTATTCCCAACAACTGGAGCCAAGAGGAGGGAAAGGCAGTCAGGCTCATGTGTTCAGGCTTTGTGGATGTCACTGATATCACCAACTGCGTCAAGGTTCTGGGTCTCAGACATTGGTCACTGGCAAAGCTATGACCCAACGTGCCTGTGACGGCACAGCAGTTCTTGCATGTTCATCTCTTTAGCTTCCGCATGTCGGCTCCGGGACTCTGACACACCTTGTTGATCCCAGCGACCCGCAGCAGGATGATGTTTGACGTGGGACAGGATGCACTCTTAGGAACTGCGGCGGCCCCTGACAGGAGCAGGTGGCTCATGGATCAACTAATCCTGCGCAGCCTTTTCTAGCCAAACAGCGCCAGGTGCCAGACGGTCAGACCAAGCTGGTGGGGGTGATTCCCCGAACTCTGATATCGGCGCGATCATATTGGACTGCCGGTGGCCATGCGAATCCTGGCTCCTCCGCTCCCGTTCAATCCGGTGTCAAGGACACATGATAGCGAGAGAACAGTCGCCAGATGTGCGCCTTGATGAGTGGATCTGGTCGTCTGCGGTCTTGCATTCGTCAGATGCTCTGGTCCGGGACTCATTCTAGACTGCAGCATGACCCCCTTCGCAGTCGAACTACTGTTGGTCGTGTGCGGGGACTGATTTGATAATTCAATTGTTGGGTTTGCGCCTGCATATCCTGACGGGTCTTTCCCTGCCGCAGGAAGGACGTGTAGATGTGAAGATGATGTCAACCTTCGCATGATGCAGCAGCGGAAGTCTAATGCGTTCCTTTGCCCCCCCACCATCCTCGAGAGGCTCACATCACCTTCGGCCGATGCATGACCATGCTAGTCAGATACGCGTTCATTTTCCTATCTTGGAAAAGATGCCTTCCCAGGCTGATCCCAGATGGGGGTGATCTCAGGCTTTCTGATTCGCATAGCCGCCAGTCCGCTGGGAGGGAGGGGGAGCATCAAAGGCATTGAGATGCATATGCAGACTGAATCATATGTTGGGATACTGTTATATTAAAATTTTTACCTGGAAGGATGATTCGAGTGTGATGTAGATCGAATCACCAACTGATTCTCCGGTTCAACGGCTCTATTGGTCCGTGTTGAGGGAGGGCTGAGCCCAAAAAAATGGGAAAAGAGAACCGAGTGCAGGGAAAAGAAAGGAAGAAAAAGCAAGATGCAAGCCGTAGTTAGTTTCCCGTTCCTTGCCTAACCTTCTTCTGACGGTCATCCATCCATTCATTTTTGACTCTTTTCGCTGCGATGTGATCACCACAACCCCCCAAGACTTACCACCACTGCCACAACAACACAACAAATGATTTATGATTTTATTATTTTTTCTTACTTAACCGCCATTTAATTTTTGCATAGAAAAATTATTTTCTCTTAGTCGTGATTGGCCGGGTTGAGTCACAAACTGGCCCTACGCCAACTGAACAATTGTGGGCGTAGACTGGCGTTGTTGCGGCACAGTCAACCGCAGTCATCTTTATCATTTGGGATTCTGATTCGAGACTCACCACCACCACAACCACACTTACTGCTCCTACTACGGACGTACCAACGGTTGTTACCACCACCACTACCTGCCAGTAGTCCAGGAGACTGCATTCTCAATTATTTAAAGCCCCCTTCGCACTCCCCCATCGGACAATCAGAACCATCATCAATCCATCAAAGCAATCAAGCAAGCAAAAGCAATCCAGCTAGCTCAGCTCAGCCTGACCACAACTTCTCAAACTTCACATTCTCTCACAATCTTCTACTTTCTATCTACTCTTGCTCCCGCACTTTCTAAGTGCTCCTCTCTACGACTATCTTACTGCAACTCCACCAGTTTCAGGTCCCTTCCCCAGTCTCCTCCCACCGCCACTATGTGCTCCCAGTACTTCTTCAAGTACGACTGCGGCTGCACCGTCGCTGAGGGTGATGTCGTCTACTGCGCCAAGCGAGGGACCTCCTGCACTGGCGTCAGACAGCAGATCCGCCGCCGAGAGGGCTACAACTGCCCTAACCACGGTGGCTAGATAGTTTCATGCTATGCCCTTTCCCCCTCCTCCTCCGGGGGGTGGGTGCCACAGGTTAGTGAGTTGCCGAAGATCCACTCGCGCCTAACTTCCAGCCCCAGATCCATCCATAAAGGGAAGGGATACGTTCGTGAACTAACGGTTTCTGGCCCCAGGGTTGATTGCTACTCTACCTTACTAGCTAGATTGAACGGCATAGTAAGGTAGTGAGCCTGTTTGAGGAGAAGGAGGGGGAGAAGAAATCCAGGTTCGGGTTGTTTCGATGACAACGATTTTTTTCCAATTATCGATATCCGCCCTCTTGTGTGTCTTGTCTGGAGATATTCGCGCGCAGACATGATGGGGGCGGATATTAGGAGAAGTGACAACCGGATCTGAGATGGGGACGGACGGTTATCTGGCATCTTCTGTTTCTTTTTTCGTCTTTTTTCTTATTTTCCAGTTTTGAGTTTCGGTTTTGATTTTATCGTTTGGTTCCCTTTGTTCGCGATTAGCCTGTTGAAAATCGCAAAAAAAAGAAAAAGTCAGAAAAAAAAAATTCATCAGGGAGGACAAATTGAGGTTTCAAATTGGCATCGCTCGCACCTGATTATTCTGTTTATTTGTCTTTTCATCTGTTCTCATCATCATCATTGTCATTGTTACTGTCTGTCGTTGTTATTGAGATCATTTCGGCTTCTTATTTTATTTTATTTTTTTTTCTGTTTCACCACTCATCGCCATCGCCGCACACACCCCAGATTTGCATCATCTGCATATGTTAGTCACTTCGTTAGTTTTCTGATTTCTTCCCTGCGTTTCATACCACTTCCGTTCCGTTCCTTCATCTATGATTTGATTTGATTTGATTCGATTTATTTTTTCCCCCGGGAGGCACATGTCGATCATCAGGAGGAACACTAACTCATGCTTATTATTCCCATCCACATGTCATTGTTGTCTGTTTCCTTTTGATTTCTCGGCGGCATCCGTCTCTCTTTTCGCTATTTCGCACTTGGCATTGCGCTGCATTGGTGTGTGTGCTTTGCTTTGCTTTGCTGTAAAGTGTGGATTTTTGTCATCGTTGTCCCCTTTTTGTTTGTAACTACTATATAAGTAGTTATTTAGTTCGCTTGTCGGCTTATGCGACGCTCATTTATCATTCGTCTATTTTACTTCATTTTATATTGGGTCTTTGAGTAGTTGATGTCATTTATAGCTACCTAGTAAGTAGAGTAGTTGGGACTGGGTCATCATCATCAGCTGATACTTTCTATCTATCCATAGTATTACTACTATATCCTTTAGTATGTATTTAGCTCCTCCTACTACTCTGATGGTAACGATGATGATGATGATGATGATGATGTTCACGAGATGTGGATGCCTTGCTGGTGCCACCCTCAACTGTATTATTTCAGTTAAGTTACCTACTTGTTACTAATCTCATACTATATTAAAGCGTGAGGAGATAGTATGTGGTGCAACTTGGTCATATGGTTCGATTTGCAAGACCCTCCTTTCCCCTCACTCAATTTATTTTTCTTCCATCTACATGATTTAGTTTCACATGGGAAAGACAAGAAAATCAATGCAGAGAGAAAGAGGCACAGACAAAAGATTCACACCAGCGCGGCAATTCTGTCGGACCCAAAACCAACTACTGACTCGGAGGGGCCGACTAGACTACTAGTAGATTATGACAAGACCCATCCGGCCCATGGAACCATGGTTGACGGCGCTTAGGTGTGACAAATCCTCCACCACTACTGCCTTTGTCGCCCTACTTCCTCGTGGCGCGAGTCAACAGGATGGGGAAATCCTCCACATCGATGGTTACCTTTGCCGCGCAAACCATCAACAGTGGGTGAGGAAGAATCCCGGAGTACTCTCGGAGATACTAGGTGCAAATGGTGTTAGTTCTTCCTCCTCTTCCATTTCGCATCACAGTTTTCAACTACGCTTTTCATCGTTAGGGGTCTAGGGGGTAAAAAAAGTCGGCCGCAAATTTGTGTGTGTGCGTACGCGGAATGCAGATAGGCTCCAATGGGTCCTCCTACCCTACACGAGAGGGGGGACCAACTAACGAGAAAATTCTCTTCGACCCTGATTAGCACCGCACATCACCGGCTGCATTAGCACCGCATACGCTTTTTATCACCTGATGTCCAACGGGCAAATCAGGTGCAGTAAACGGGGCACAGACGCGAGTTGTCTGGTGGCAAGAGATGCTGACTGGTGCCAACGAGTCTCGCCGATGGATGGGGGTTCCCGGAGCCAGTAAGGGTAGGAACTCCGCGCGTATATCGGGGATTCTGAAAAGTGAAAACCCAGTGCAACTGGGGCCTGCCAGGCGCTAGGTCGGGGTTGCTGTGTCCAACGACAATGCTTGAAAATTTGAATGCAGTGTAGCTGTGCCCCTCTTTTTCTCCGGCTTCGCTGGCGTGGAAAGGAAGAACACTGCGTCAAAGTGACGGGGGTGTACGGTTTCTGGAGCAATGTTCCGACCACATGAGAAATCAGTGTTGTGTGGCGTACCCCCCTTCGCGTCTTCATGTGTTATCGGCTGCTCTGTTTCTGAGAGAAACGCGGGCCATACGGCACTTTGGATCGGCTTTGGGGGGTGAATTAACAGGTTGTTAAACCTGGTCAGGCCTCGAGGCAGATACCGGGGGTAAAAGTTTAAAAAGTTACAAGAGAGGGGTTATTAGCAAGCCAGGTTTACCTGTTCATCCCTTCTATAGAGGGGAAAACCCCTAGCAGGCCAATAGTAGCTGGTACTAGACTCGCCAGTGTTGGGTCCCAGATAGCCTAGCTCAGTCGTGATTGAGCCGCGCCGATGAATAGCACTTGTTGGTCACAGTATTGTTGTACGGCGGTCCCAGAGCGACCCCTGGAGCAGCAGGCGTGCGCTGCCAGTGTACACCGCTTGAGTAATGCTCAGAACAGCGCCGCAGAGCTGTGCCATCACCCTTAGACCGGCGATGGGCGGGAGGGACCTGGGGAACCAGAATGCTGGGACAGTAAACCTAAAGCGGTGTGGGCACCGACTGCGCCGCTCAGGCCAACCAAAACTTATACCAGGGTCATTTGAAAGTCCTAGGGAAGCCAGCTTTTAACTCTGGTCACTGTCAGACTCCATTGTGACCGTTGGAGGCCGAAAGAAGGCATTGTGGTAGCATTGGATTGTCGTTGGGGCATTGATGGCGGTCACGTTGTCGCGATCTCACGTGATGCGCACCAGCTGCAAGAACCGCCGAAGCGCGACAAAAACAAGCGCCAACTCCGACTCTCCGATTCTCGACGTCACCGACAAGAATGGTCTGAAAAGCTAATCGGCCTGGTGTTCACTTTGTTTCAGGTTTTTTTTCCCCAGGGTTCTAGAATCAATTCTCGAATCCTTTCCTTTTCTTTTCTCTGTCATCACCCACGGATAGAAGGCCGTTTTGCACATGTAATGTCCATAGAAGTTGACTGGGGCGCCGCAACTTCCGGTCCCGACGGAGAGGCTTTGGCCGAGCGCATCCGCTCTTTTATTCATGACAAGTTCCAGCAGGTTGCTCTGCCACGCTTTATCCGATCAGTACAAGTCCATTCTTTCGACTTCGGGACGATCCCGCCTGAGCTCGAGATCAAGGACCTTTGCGAACCGTTCGCCGACTTCTATGAAGAAGATGAAGACGATGAAGCGTCCGATGTATCTGAGGGACTTGTCTCCGGGCATGGTTCACCGTGGCATGGGACTCATCCAGAGCTCAATGAATCATCTTTCCGCGACGATAATGCAATAAATCAATCGCTGCGTGATCCTTTTACCGAAGGCTTCCAGCCCTCGGCCTTGCGATCTCCCATAGCTCTTAGCGACCATCTCAATCCGCATTTCCGCTCCGGCACTCCTGGTATACCCGGAGGTACATCGACCCTAGGCTACCATCTGATGTCACTTGGTGGGCTTTCAGGGACGCAGACACCCCTTGCTGCAGTTGCAGGCGGATCTCCGTTCGCAGGCGGATGGAATGATTCTGGGATGATGGGCCCTGGTAATAGGGGGCGTCCACCGCCTCCAATTTTTACTGCCCACCAATCGCGTCCGGAAGCCGACATTGACAGCAGTAATCCGACTTCGCGCCCATCAACATCAAGCACGTTACCTTCTCATCCATCCGGGTCCAATAAAAATAATGGTGATGGAGCAGGAGGTCCTGACCATGGATCACACCCCGAAGAGCATGGACATTTAGATGACCCTACTTCGGAAGAGCCTCTGCGATTTCCTCGAATGAGAGAGCGCCGGCCCGAGGATTTTCAAGTACTGTGTCACGCCAAATACGCGGGTGATGTGCGGCTGTCATTGACAGCGGAAATTCTTCTGGACTATCCTATGCCCAGTTTCGTGGGACTACCCTTGAAACTAAATGTCACAGGGATCACGTTTGATGGTGTTGCAGTGGTCGCGTACATCCGCAAGCGGGTCCACTTCTGCTTCCTGTCATCCGAAGATGCGGACGCGCTGATTGGGTCTGATCAGCCGGACGTCGGTGCTCAAACCGAGTATTCACGCTCTGGCGGGGATGCGACCGTCTCTGCAAAGCGACAGGGTGGACTGCTGCAAGAAATCCGAGTTGAGAGTGAGATTGGTCGGAAAGAAGATGGCAAACAAGTCCTCAAGAACGTCGGCAAAGTGGAACGGTTTGTGCTCGCACAGGTGCGGCGGATATTCGAGGAGGAGCTCGTCTATCCTAGTTTCTGGACATTCCTGGTCTAGTTGTGCTGTAGATATGGGCCGCGGAAGAACATTGTCAACTCGCATTGGTCTAAACCCGTGAGGATTTAGGGTTTGATCGACTATTTGAGTCCTACCGTGTGCTCCAGACCGCCTCGAACCCACCGATTTGTCAGAAACAGGCACTAAGACTGCAGTGTTTTATATCCAATTTAGCGCATGCATCTCTCCTCCCTAGCGATTGAAGAATCATGCCTAAACTTCCTTCAGGGGCAATGTAGCCACAAACCTCATCGCTTGCGGGAAAGCGTTCCTGGCACAAATCCTTCCTGTCAGACCCCACGCGCATCTCTGTCATACCTGCCAATTACCTTAACAACTGACTGCTCTTGTCGCCACCCCCTTGTTTCTCGTGACGTAGCAGTCAATGTAAGTAATTCCTCACTACTACCTTATACTTGGTAGTAGCAGGCCAGCCAAGCGTATTCAAGTTCCACACAGGAAAGAACTGATGACCACCCCTCCAAGTACAACGAATTCATTGCTAGCCATCTCACCTTGAATAGAATGAAACAGACAGCCGGCATTGGCTACAGTTCCATTAGTCCATTTCCTAGTCTAAGACACATACTTATCTGGTCATGCCAAGTTAGCTGACATGAAGCCAACCGAACTCTGCAAACCAAACCTCATGATCCTTGTGACAGGCCCACACCCCTCGGAACGGCCCCAGGCGGGAAGAGTAGGGCGGGAACCAGTGGATTTTCTTCACTCCCTCGCTTGCTCATTACTTTCATTCTCGTTCTCTTCGTCTCTCGTCAGCGTTTGATTCCTTAAGTTGGTGGGTGGGGGCGTCTGTCAGCTGGTGTCTACCTGACTGTCTCTAGCATTATGAGCAGGTTAGCTGACGAAAATTGATGAAAACAATGAGGGATTAATGGCTTAGCTGGTAGCTATTGTACGATGTAGACAAAGCACTCGTAATTATTTGCTAAGGTGGGACTTGTCTGATCGCCATGAGGAGTCAGGGTGAGAGGTTGTAAATGGTTTTCGGGTATAGTAGCAGCTGTTGTTGCTCTTCAGGGTAAGAAGGATGGAGATTCAAGAAATGTTGCAGTGAGTAGAAGAAGGTTTCGGTTCTTGGACATTGTACTTGGGAGTCGTATTGAGTGTGAGAATCCTATCTTTGGTGGTTGTTGTTGTTGTGAGTAAACTGCGGTGTTGATCAAAGAGGAACGATGGAACCGCAAGCAGGTGCTTCGACCTGATCGTTGGCCCCTCTTTCTACATTGGGTTTTGATCTGAGAGTTATTGACTACTGTATTTTTCAAATGTTGGCAATGGCGTATATTTGTATCTGTGGATGTATCGCTCTTGTGTTTACCGAATGCCTACATTTTGATTTAGACAATGGTATTTTTGCTCCATTGTAAGTGATAACCCAGATGAGCCAGATAATCCTAAGTTTTGCAATGACAACTTCTTTCCCGAAAACTGCACCAGTATGATCCACTCCACCAATGCGCTTCAAGATAACAGCTGGTTCATCCGACCAACAGGCGGTCGTTGTCAACATTCCGCCTCATCCAGACCCGATAGATATGGTAACCGAAATGCACATAAGAGGGTAGCTTGCAGACGGCGTGATGTACAATCAATCAGCCCCAAAGAGCGATCAATTTACAGTCCCGACTGGCCTAACAAGCTCACGATTGTATTTCTCGCGGCACACCCAAGAGAGGTCTACTGGTCCTTCTTGGGAGCCTCATCCTTCTCACCAGACACCTGATCACCAAGCTTGTGGTATTCGCGGGTGAGACCCTCACACTGCTTCTTCAGGGTCTCAATGTCACGGTCCTTGGCTGCAAGCTCCTCCTTCAGACGGCCGATTTCACCGATTTCACCGGCCTGCGCAAGACGAGCGGAGTCCTTACCGCCAGCCTTCTTGTCACCCTCAAGGAGTCTGACTCTGTCCTCAAGACGGAGGACGTCAAGGATCATGGTGTAAGTGCGATTGAGGATAAGAGACAGGAAGAGGGTGAATCCACAGAGGTACATGTTGCGCTGCGAGTAGAACTTCCGGGCTTGGACTTCCATGCGATCGGTACCGAGAGCGGCGGCTCTGTGGCGAAAGCTAGGTCAGTAACTGTTTCAGTGCAATGCTAAAAAGGGCCTGGATCGTCGGAAGCATACCCCATGGTGCCTCCCTCTTTGCCGAAGGAAGCCAGCTCCAGCTGCACACGGTATACGCGGTTGACACTATCGATGAAGAGGATGAGGATAAAGATGAATGTGATCTATAGCTTGATGAGTAATTGCAAATGTTAGACAATGTTTAATAACATACCTTTAATCCATATTGTAATTTAGCTACTATCGGACTTTCCGAAATGAAAGCGAAGAGCTTCCTCTTCACGGTGAATGGAAGAGGGATGATGAGGCCCATGAAGACCGCCATCTCAAACACCAAGAGGCAGAAAACCTATTACCATATTGTAAGCACATGTTGATGCGACATATTATCTGATGATCCGGGAGTGCGCGGGTCAGGGGCTGCAGGCCGCAGGCTGCAACAATCCCGAACTCCATGCCATTGCGGGAAGAGTCAACAACAAATGGCGGTACGTACGAGGCTGTAGTAAAGAGTCATATTGTCTAATGTTGTAGTTCAATAAACTTCCGGCAGATGCTTCAAAATGCAAGTCTGGCTGGATATCCAGCAGTGGTTGTGGGGTTTGTTTTGCAAAGATAAACAAAGGTGCGAGGTAACACGCAAGAGGAGTTGAAAAACCTGAAGGATCGATCAGGCGTAAGGCGGACAATGTTTATCAAAGAAGTACTCCTAGCTAATATACTGGCATGAACAGTGCCAGAACAGAGCAGCGGTTGGGCAGTTCAGGAGATGAGGTGGTCTTTTTGCAGTTTCTGGTGAGAGGAAGACGTCATTACCGCCCGGAGCTGTGATCGTGCACGTGACTATATCGACCGCGGCTCAGCCTGCCGTCTACGTCATAGCAACAGGGTTTATCTAAAGTGTGTAGTTCTCATTGCATATGATTGCTAGCTGTGGTATGTACATCATCTCTATGCGTTAATCCTAATCTAGACGGTGTGTGTTTAACCCTCCGCTTCGTCATACGAGTTGGACTTGTGCTTGGGCTCGAACTTGGAGTCCTTATGAGCCGGTCCGAGGAACATCTCCCTAGAAGGCTGTTAGAATGAGTTCGAAAGAGTGAGCCGGTCAGAAGAAGGTACTTACGAGATCTTGAGCCAATCCTTGTAGTTGGCACTGGCCAGCAGTGTCTCAAGCTCATTTCGGCCTCTGAAAGCCGGGGGCCGGTCGTTAATGTAGGGGGGAAGATGCTCGAGCAACCCGATAGGTACATAGCGACGAGTGAAGCTCAGCCATTCCATCAAGAAGCGTCTAGTCGTACCAACACCGTGCTCATCGGATCCCCATGCCTCCAGACCGTACTTACAGAACTTCTCAATCATTGCCAAACGTTCCGTAGCAGACTTGTCAAGGTACTGGCCCGCCTGAATTTCCTCGAACAGCCAAGGCTTGATCAGAGGACCGCGACCAAGCATAACAGCATCAACGCCAGCATTGTTGATGTGGTTATCGTAGTCAACATGAGAGTAGCAGTCACCGTTACCCAGGAAGTAAACCTTCCCGCCGTTTGGCTGCGTCCGGGCGTCAGGCTCCCGGATGGTATCCGTCACCGCGTCAGTCTTCTCGTTCAGGCGCTTGATCAAGGCGGCACATTCGGAGATGTATTCCCAATCAGCTTGTCTGGTGTAACGCTGCTGTCTGCTACGGCCGTGAAGAGTGATAGCCGCTGCACCTGCGGCGCCGTCGTGATGAAGCAGACTGGTTTCGTAGCCCCCAAGCAGCAAACGCTCCGTCAGTTTCAAGGCGTTCGGATTGTTGTCCTTCGTTCCCATACGGATCTTGACCGTGATAGGAATCTGATCCGAAACAGTGTTCATGCCACGAATGATCTTCTCGAGCTTCGACGGGTGCTCCAGAAGAGCAGAGCCAGCACCATCCTTGAAGACGAGGTCAATCGGGCAGCCACAGTTCAGATCGATGACACGCAGGTTTGGAGTAACTTTAGCCAGTGCCTCTGTAGCCTTGAACGCCTGCCAGGGCTTGTTTGCTGCAATTTGAGCACCAAACTTCATGTCCTTGGAGTTGTCATAGCCCTGCACGATGTCTGCCCCGGGCAGCATCGTGGGAGGGAGCATCTCCGACTCATGGGCTCGCATTAAGGCCCACTCCGACTTGTTACCCTGGATCAAGGGCAAGCTCATGGCCATCTCAGAATAGGTAAATTGTGCGCCAAGCTCGACGCAAAGTCTTCGGAAAGGCATGTTGCCTTGGGTAGTCAAAGGCGCCAGTGCCGGTGTCTCGGGTCCAAAGTACAGTCGGCGCTTCTCTGATGGCATGAATGGCGGCTCAACGTACATAGCCCGGTTCTCCTCCTTTTCGTCCTTGCTATCTGCATCCTTAGATTCTGCATCCTTAGACTCTCCATCCTTGGTTTCAGCTCCTACGGGCGCAGCACGATGCCGTTTGTGGAGCTCCTTCTCAATGGTCCTAGATGTGTTTTCCAGCCAAGCACTATACGGCCCAGCTCTTGGGAAGTCCATCTTCCTCCTCGCCAAGGCAATTTTATCCTCCATCGAAGCAACATTCACAGCCCCGTCCTCTCCAGCAAAGGGAACAAGCCGCTGAACCTTCTTCTTGCGCTCCTCATCCTCAATAAAAACCAACTCTTTCCTTCCATCGGCAGTCTCTCGCTCCTCCGAGTGTGAACCGACAAAACGACATTTCCAGCCCACGAAGCACTTTCCGTGGACATCCCAGACAGGACACATGCCATTGAACGTCGTAAGATCTTCCCGCTTATGCTCCTTCAAGTATGTGCGCAGGTCATGCTCGTACCGACACTTTTCACCGAAAGTGCACTCGGCAGGAGAGAATTCAGGCCTGAAGTTGACACTAGAGCACAATCCTTTCGCATCCTCGGATCGACCAAACGTGCGGTTCGTATTCTGACCAGTCTTCTTCTTTTTCTTCTTTCCATTCTGCTCATCGGCGCGCCCGTCGTGGTGTGCAGCTTCCGCAGCATCGTCAGCGTTGGCATCGGAAGCGGTCTGGCCTCTCGTGGGTTGTTGGTCGATAATAAACCTAGCAGAGGAAGTCGGTTAGAGCGGGCGCATCGCAAACAGATTTAGGTCAATCACATACTCGGGCTTGATAGGAGCAACGCCCTTCATACGCGGGGCGGGCGCATCAGCCGTTTGTCCGTTAGAATCCGCCGAATCATCGAGTCTGGCTTTCTTCGAGGGTGGCTCCTGGGCCTGGTGGTCTGCAGCGGCATCGCCATTCTCCGGATCACGCTTGGGCGCATTAGCCTCTGGAGCGGGCAGCTGTTCCTGAGCGGTTGTCGGCTCCATTGTGAACAGTCGCTTTCCTCGAGAGAAAGGAAGGAAATGACTACCGAATTACCAAAGGGACTGGACTGCGCAATGCGACAATTGGGCTAGAATCAGCGCGTCTTGTGATCCAGACCCTTTCCGAATTCAAAAAGATGCCGGTCGGTCCTCGAGAATCTCCGCAATCAATCTAATGCGGGCAAAAATTTCGAGGGGTGCAGTTTGTAAGGTTTGCACTGGCAGTGGCGTTCACGGCAGTTCCAGCGTGGCGGTACGGAGGCGGTCAGGGCGTTGCTTACCAGTACTTAGTGGCGGTGCGGACCCGCGGGCAACTGTTGTTTTGACAGCCAATCCCTGAGGTGCTGTTACGATGGGCGGTACACGCGGTAAAATGGAAGCGATCCTTTGCCGTCGCCTTACCGGGCAACCTCCTTCTCCCCCATCCATTACAAACGTCGAACACACTAGCGTAATCTTACTATACATACTGAGCAAGAGCCCCACCGAAGTTGAACCTAGTCTTGCAATGCTCACATTTTCTGGGTTTCTAGAAGAACTTAAACGACCCGTTTGATGGGGGGGTAGATCAATGCTGAGAAAGTCAACCACCTGTCGTTGACTAGCTTAGCAAACGCCGTCGGTCTCGCATCGAGCCTACCCACCATCAGGATTCCAATCAAGGCATAGTCTCCGTATGCTGTCGCTCCGCCCATCACTGTGATCGATCGTACTTGTCGAATGTTACGACGACTGTGGGATATGCCTCCACCACAGTGGCAAGGATCATTAATACATCTGGAAGACAAGAACTTCCTACAAAAGTATTCAAGACAAATACTACATCGGAGATATATCCGACTGGCGACCATTCAACACCTCCATCACGTTCACCACTACAACAGTACTAATCATCTCCTCAAACTTCAGTAACAACCCAGAAAGTCAATTCCATCTTGGCAAGAAGGTCACAGGACTACGAATACGCCTCTAGCATTGGGCAATTTCGAAACGATGCGAAGATCTCCTGCGCCTCTTACTTTTAGTCACTCTGCTTAGCGCTTGTACCTGCTGATCTGTTATGTCCTGATGAGGATTAACTACCCTCCCCCATGCATCATGTTACATGTACATTAAAATCGTCTGTTGTGTAAGCCTGACCTTACGGGATAAAGTCCGGGGGGAGAGGAACGTCGGGATGCGTCTACTTTACTGCAGTGATAGTCCAGTGCATAACTATGGGGTTGGTTGTTTATGGCCTTGAGCGATTTCTCAGTGCTATTTACGTATGCTGCATACTGGCTTTCCCCCCTTTTTTTGCATTTGGATGGGTGGATATTATGTGTATGGGTTGCTGCAGTATAATCTGCATGAGGCAGGTACAGGTTGAAGGGGTTGCATTGCGGTTCGTTGTAAAGTGGATGGATCATGGTATCCACATCAAGGGACAAAAGCACATGTGGCATTCCAGGAACCGTGGACGTGGAAATGGAAGGGTGGCAAATTGGTTCTATTTATTGCTGAGCAGTACGTATATATATTGGTATTTCTGGGAATTTATGGCTCTTGTAAGCTTACGCAACTGTACGACATAGATGCGTAGATTATTTGAAGATATTGGTGCTTCGGGATAGTTCATTAGGCATCATGTGCTGTGAGTAGTACCGTGTATGTAAGGGGAGTACTACTAATTCATGTACATAATCGACCATGTATGGGATCCGTCACTTGTGTCTCCCAGTCATCCCAGAATGCAGGTGCCTGATTAGAGTAGCGGCTGTAAGGTGACTACTACTGTAGGAATGCTTATTGATCAGAGTGCGGATGGCAGCAATACTCCGAAAAGCGGTATATACGTTGTAGCGTACACGCGGAGTCTTCGGGATAATACCTGGTGGATACAGGCGCCTCACTTGACTCAAATTAGGTTCGGTAAAACGCAGCCGAGGTATTCGAGGGTTGAGACATGGATGAAACAAACGGATGGCGCTTGACAGGGGTAGGGGACCAGTAGAGCCGGAGCATCGGTTCAGCTTGCCCAGATGAGTATGAGATTAGAGAACACACAACAATCCCTGTTGTCTGTAACCGAAACTGGGTAGTTGATATTGGCTTGTTTAGTTACATCAATCCAGCAGGAGAGTCTGTTCATCATCGTTGCATGGTCAGCACTTGCACCCGAAAAGGAAAGTCACTCGACCGATAATGCGGTGAAAGACGCAAAATTGCCGCTAACCATTAGAAATGCTTCTTCAGTGCTTCTAGTGTTGGAGCCAAGAACTAACCCCCAGAATATGCCCTAGACTAATTGCATGATCAGAATGAATGAGAACTCATCGTCCCCGAATTTCGCGGCGATCGGCACCCGGAGGAAAAGGGGCTTGGTCCCATTCCTGCGATCTCTCACCTCCCAACCAATACCAGGCGATCTGGTCTATCAGCAGACCATGCTGAGCGGGAGAACGGTGTGTATGTTAATAC